TGCCATTAACCCAAATGGAAGCAACTTCTTCCACACTAGCAAGGTGAGCCTTACCAGAGACAACAGAGACAGCCTCATCATAGGTCATGGGGATGCTGGCATCAACAAGGCTGCAAAAGTCATCAAGCTCCACAACATATATTTTAGCATTTTCCTGGACTTTCAATGAGGGCCAACATTTCTGTAGGTGAATAATGGCAGCAAATTAGGCATGCCATGACGTTGATGAGCATTGGAGGCTTATCCTTGACTAGAGTAGCATTAACTAGTTCAAGGATATCTATAAAGGATTTCCCAGAGGAGTTAATGGAGCTGGTGGCAAAACATGAATAGGAGCTAGTGGCAGAGGTAAAACCAAGTTTGCTCCCACAAGTGGGATCAAAAGAACAAGGCAAGTCTCATCCAGAAAGAGAAAACTTCTAGGGCATCTAGGTATGCCAAACCCAGACTTGCCAAGAATCAGTGTATGCTTTTGCAGCAACAGCTAGCAGGCTTTGGGGCCATATAATTGCAAGCCTAATTCCTCATCTCCAAGCCAATTTTCTCAAGAGTGATGGATTTGGCATAACATGATGAGGAGTTCCACAATGCAAAGGCAGTTGTGGCACTAAGTAGACTCTAGTTGTATTATTCTTATGGGCAATAAGAAGACTGTCTTTGAGTGGTACCAGTTGAACAATAACAAACATAATGTTTAACTTGGCAATGACACAACCATACCTATGGAAGGCATTAATTAATTCCAGCTTTAACTTGATCATGGGAGGACCATGGCCTCTTTATCTCTACCTTGCTATGAAAAAATATGAACTGCTAAACTATTAAACTGATAAACTTAATATTTGTTGTGAGAAAGTGCAATGGTAGTCTTAGATGCCAAGGGAGTCTTCTGAATTGACTCTAGTGACTTTTTCGTTCTGTATATGTAGTTGTTACTTGGGCCACAAGGGATTTGTATGAGCTCACTACTGCTGATTCAATTTAAGCTTTCCAAACCATGGAAGCTAATACTCACATTGACCTTTGGCAATACACAATGCTTGCTCAATGAAAAATTATAGTGGTGATGTTTGCCTAAAATGTAAAGTTCACAAAATATAAATAGAATACTCAGCTAATAACAATAGCATGAACTTTTATATGTTGGAGAGATTTGTAATTTATATGTCCAAATCTACTTTTGGACATCGTCCATTCCAAGAATGGGCAGCAAGGAGCACATTCGAGGAGAGACACATTGTGATACTGCCCCTAGCCTTGGAGTCCCGAAGAGTCCAATCACGAATATCTGCAGCATTTGCACTCAGTGCTAGCAGTGGCTCTGTCCCATTGTAGGCTCTGTCCCATCTACAATGCCAAACAAACCGCGGAAAGGAGATAGGATTCAAGATGCATCCTGAACCCTTCGAAACCTACTCCATCGAACTCACGAATGGCTGGCTTCCCTTCCATGGCGCTAACCGAGCTCAAACTGGGATTGCAAAACCGGAAGCCCAAACTATGTAGCCTTCCTTCTTTCAACAAATGAATGGTCCAAGCGTCCTGGATACTGTACCATTAGCATTAGATCTCTTCGGAAGAAATCCGCCAGGGAAGTTTACAAGCCTTTAGAATTCTCTTCAGCAATTCAAACTTAATTACCTTGTTGATGATATAGTTGGAGTTTGGGCCTCGCCCCTGAAAAGTTTTCCTGCTACACATTTTCAGAGACTGGGCATTGCTTAGTTACATATGCTACTGACCTCGGATCGGTGCATGCATCTTTACCTAAACCTCCGGCAAATCCTTGCGAGCGAGAGTTTGCCAGAAACAAACCAGTAACTCTTGGAGGGCTCGTCACTCGCTTGCAATCAGTTAAGCACGTGTCAAGGCGAAGGGCGCCAGTTGATTTCCTTTCGCTTTGAAAGTAGACCTTTTGGCTGCGATTGAGGTTTTGCAAGAGCTTGTTTCTAAACACTAAATAGTGCCAAAATAATCACAAAATTGGATGAATCTTTTTCTTTCGAACATGGCCTTGTTAGAGCTCTATAAATAGTTTGTTTGCGCTCCCTTGGCTAGATAATCGCTCCCGGCAGGAATAGTTGGAATGAATGAAGCTATTCTGCACGCGCATTGGAGCAATTCGCACACCAGAAGTTTCAAGAATCTATCCCGTTTCTCTCATGATTTCCTTTTAAACATCCATTCTCAGTAGCCAAAAGAGAAGAGGAATCTTGAGACCATCCTGCTTCATCGGAGCCAAAGAAACCAAGGCAGCGTGATATCACGCTGCCTTGGCCGCTTTGGCTGCTGCTTTGGCTGTTCACCAACAGTAGCAACCATCATGATCATGAGAGCAAGATGCTCTATCTGATCACCGTTGTTTTTTGTTGGGAAGAGGAGATCTTCCCTACAGAAAGAAAATCACTGCTGATTTTTTAAGATCTCCTTTTCCCAAAGAAAACTAGAGGAGCTGCACTTAAAGACCCAAATGGCGAACACAGATGTTCAGGTTTTTTTAGCCATCGCCATCGCCAGTGTCAACAAGTCTTGCCCGCCATTTCGTTTGTCTTGTTTACACTGGCGATGGAAATGGTAACCTGTTCAAAAACCTGATTTTCCTTGTGGAGGGAAGCGCCGGTTCCCAAAGAAAACTCGTGCAAGTCTAACAATTCCGTATGCAACGAGGTCAGGCAGTCGAAAACCGTTGGTGGCGTTGGTGGCGATGGCAGTGCTGTTCAAAAACCTGACATTCAGGTTTTTGAACACAGATGTTCATGTGTTTGAACACCACCGCCATCGCCAGTGTAAACAAACAAGACAAACGAAATGGCGAGCAAGATGGACATGGAACGAGCACTAGAAAGCAAGACCAGGGGAAAAAAATATGGAACCAGCGAGAGCACTCCACCAGGGAGAAAAGGAGAGCACTCAGCGAGGTAGGACGGACACAAGCTCAGAGAGCATAGGGCTGGGCTTATATTGGCAGTGATGAGCGCTTTCTAGATCCTTCCGGCTCCAGCGTATCGTATTTCTTTCGAGTCTGTGTGAGATGTGTGTGGGAGACAACGAGAATTGGAGTCTGCTGCGTGTCAAGGGAGGGAAATACTGCAAGAATGCATTGAAGGAGTTTTTGATTTGTTGATCGTTGCAAGATATTCCAAGGGACCTTCAAATGGAGGAATTTCCTTTCTCTGACTAAGAATTTAGATTTACATGATTTGCATTCTCCTCCAATTCCCAGTGAGGGGTTGGATCTGCTGGAGTTTATCAAACATGCCAAGGAGGCCTCCAGTGTGAATGAACAGCACCTTCTTCCCTGTCCAATACTTGGCATCGCACACCATGTCTTTCACCATGCCATGCAATGCTTTCCCACTGACAAACACACAAAGAAACGAAGAGATTTCTAGTTAGAGAACACTTGGTGAGAAGACTTCTCTCCTCACCTATAAACTGGATCCAGAATTACGCCAGTGGCCTCCGAGATCTCTTTCACCAGCTCAAGCTCTCCTGTACTACTCAGTGCGTATCCCAGTCCTTTGGCCTGATCAAGTTCTTACAGTGTTAGCTCCTCCAATCCTTCCATCAACAAGCAGCAAACTTACATCAACCAGCCTGACAATGTCTCGAGAGTCCACTTGCGCATGTAAACCATCCAGAAGTCCCTGGATGTAATCGTAGAAATAGTCCGGGCTGTCACAGACTGTGTAACCATGAACCTGTCCAAAACCTCTTCCTTGTTTAGATACCGATACAAAGAACAAAAACAAAACCTTGGCCTTGATCATGCTGAGATGGTTTCCTAGAGCCAGTCCTGCTGTAGTTCCACCACTACGATAAAAGAATCCATAAACAACTACATCAGCTACATGAAAAGAGGAAAAGTATGAACTAACCTTCCGCATGCCATGACAATCTCGTCAAAACGGGGACACGTCCCAGCCTCTATTTGCTGCTCAATCTCCTGTGCTGCGGAAATATAGCCCCTACAAGCAAGCTCAGAAAACAAAGAAGAAAGAAACTCTGAGATACTAACCAGGTTCCAAGAGAATTGGAGCCACCAACAGGGATGAGATAAGGCTTTCTTCCTTGGGCTCTTAGTTTTTCTACGAGCATGTCTCCAAGCGCCTGCAAAACAAGCGAGAAACTTGATTAAAAAACGCAATCGAACTCTGGGAAAAGAAGCAATACCTCACTTCCGTGCTTCGTGTACTCTTCTTTCGATACGAGCTCCACACGAGCTCCCACGAGTCGCTCTACAAGTAAGTTACCAACAAGTCCAGGATCTTCATTCACCAGACTCTACACCAAAGTAAAGAAGAAAGGTTGAAAAGAAAAAAAGAAAAGAAAAGAAGAAGAACACACCTTGCTTGTTCTAAGGATGAGATAGCAGTCGAGATCCAGATAGCGAGCAGCAACAGCGGTGGCTCTACAATGGTTGCTTTGGATTCCACCGATGGTTACCACGCAATCGGCACCTTGTAACTTTGCTTCTGCCAGGAGAAATTCCAGCTTTCTCACCTTGTTCCCGCTCAGCTGCATTCCAGTGAGATCATCTCTCTGCGATCGAATGGAAAAAAAAAAAATCTTAGACACAAGAAGAATAACACACACACACACACAACCTTGATCCAAACTTGGGTATCAGCAGGCAAATTCGGCAAATCCCAGCGATGGATTGGCGATGGAAGCTGCAAGAGCAAAATGTAGGAAGAAAGAATGGAGAATTGAGCATACCTGTGCGAGACTGTAGATGCTGCTCGGCGCTGGATTCAAGTGTTTGGCCCAATCCGGAGGAGAAAATGCGCCTTTCGAGAGCATCGGAGGCCTCGTCTTCTCGTCGATTGAAGCTCGCGCCATGGGACGCGAGGCGGTACACGGAGAGATCGAGGAGAAAAAAACTAGGCCGCTGGCCATAAACCCTAGAAGAGCATCCACGTGGACACCCAAAGCGCCATGTGTACGAAGGAATGACTTGGCCCTAAACCTTAAACCCCAAAACCCCAAACCCTAGACCCTAGCCGTACAAGGCTCCATTTTTATAAAAGTTTTACATTTTCCAAATGTACATGCCGCAAGTATCAGTAAGAGCAAATGATCAAAAACATGGAGAGAAAATTTTCCCGTCTAGTTACCGTACGAAACGCTTGATCAATGGTTCTCTATCGAGAGCTCCTCACGTCTTCTTAAGCTTTGTCCGGAAAGACAAAATCCTCTTGCCGCTTAACTCACGCCTTCTTAAGGTTTGTCCGGCACAAAATTCTCTTCCCGTATGGGCTGCTGCGCAGTGCTGGTAGATGCGGACGTATAGCTTCCACCAAGCTCGCGTGCAAAGCTCCCTGGATTTGGATACCACAAGTGTAAGTTCCCAGAGCTAGAACAAATCGAACAAACTTTCAAACTTTGGATTACCTTCGTGACTGTAAGCGCGCACTGGATCACGTAGTTTGCAAAGGGATCCTGCAGCAGCTGCCCCAGGAACGCACTCTTGGTTAGCTCGTGTATGATTCGCGCACGCTTGTCATCCGCCCCTTGCTTCAGGCACTTCTCTACAACGTTACTGCTAAACTTTTGCATCGCGAGGTGCGCGTGGTGCCCCTCCAGCTGGGCCATCACCTCCGGAGCTATCCACGGCGCCTCGTCCAAGATGTATTGCACAACATAGTTACTGCACCAACAAAGCGTCACTGAGGCTCGAAAGAAAGGAAGGCCATTGCATACCCGTATTGATCCTGCGAAAGCACTAGCGCGTTGGCGGCTATTTCTCCAACCAAGCGCTCCTTTTGTACACCTTTTGAAAAATCCACACACCGCTGAAGAACACAGCACCCGTGCCTGTGGGTTCCAACTTCGACACAGTGCTGCGCCGCGGCATCAAAAATGAACTGCATGCCAGAGTTGCCACTTTGTTAGTAAGCTAGAGGCGAGACAATCCAAAAGCTCTAACCTGGTTCTCCTCGTTCCCAAGGCGCTGGAGGCAGCGCTGGACTACGTGGTTACCATTCAAGTCCTTGATAAGAATTACTATCCCCTGCTCGAGCGAGGAGGTGATCATAGAAACCTGTTCAGGGGACTTCAACGTCTCAATTAGCTTCTGTACAGCTCGGGTGCTGCAAGGAAGAAAGCCTCTAGTGAGCGATAAGAAAAACAAAACAAGCGTACCCGTGCATGTTCAAGGAGATCGAAATCAGCTCGTCTCCAGAGCACACGACACGTAAAATCTCGAGTCGCTGGTCCTCGGTGCAAACTTCCAGGAGTTTCTGCACGAGATAGTTACCGAATGGATCAGTCATTAAATCGACAATGTGGTCGATTATCTCCTCGAAGATCTTCTGCAAGTCTTCTGCAACGCCCTCGTCAAACCTCCGCTGGAGAAATCGACAACCGTACTGATCTTTGGCAATAGAATAAATACGCCCCTCTACCTCCTTCAGCGACGAGTATCTAAGCACCTGCTCGTTGGAGCTCCCTAGCTGCAGCTGCTGCAAATCATGATACAATAACGCTTTCGACGAGCCGTAAAACCCGTCCTCGTCGGCGTCCTCGTTCTCTAAACCAGTGGCATAAACATAACCGCCATTGCTCTGCTTTTTTCTTGTTCTTGATACCGACGACTTGCCTGCTCGCGAAGGATACTTGTCAGCTCGGTTCCCCGTTACAGGCGCTTGAATGTGCAAATACGGGCACTGATCTCCTCGGCTGCAATAACCTTGAGCATAGTAGCGGCAAATGGAGTCTATATGACCTTGAGAAGTTGGCTGCCGATGGTACACGTCCCTGTTAACCGCCGAAGGTTGAAGTTGACGTCCAGCCCGATATGGAGCAACCGCGGCAGCCAGCAACGCCTGAGTTTGCAAACCATAGAGCTGAGCTGCTCGGTCGTGGATTTGCTGCTGCAAGATATGTTGCTGTACCCTCCGCTGCCGCTCCTCCTCTAGCTCACGTTGGAAGAGAAAGACCTGTTGCTTCTGCGCTTGCAGTATCCTGTCCTGCTGCAGAGATCGCAAATAGTCGTAGTACTCGGTCGCAGACCGCTGAGAGTGGCGATACAAGCCATTTTCCAAGTAACCACCGGTAAACTTCGTGGGATCATTCGAAGGCAGCTGGACCAAGTTTCCCGTCTCGTCTTGCGGAAAGGCGCTGTCGTGACTGGTTGTTGTACACGAGCCCCTGTTAACGCTCTTGCTGTTGCTCAGCCCAAAACCAAACGCATCAAATGCGGCCCGTGGGGGCGTAAACGTTGTGAATCCCTCCGGGTACATACCAGAAGAATTGCTGTCTGTCTCCGAGCTGGTCAAGCCATCCTCCTGCTGCTGAGCAATAGTACTGTCCCGACCCGGCCGGAATTCATCAAGATGCGGAGGCGCCGAGGTAGCCCGAGGGATTTCACCTAAGAGTTGATCAATATCTTCGTCGTCCTGACCCATGGCGCTGCTCGCTCGACTGCTCTAAACTGCTACAAAACTTGGCTCCAACACACATGGCACTTCATCTGAAAGCCATAGCAAAGGCGCTCCTGATCATTGAAACAAAACATTGGAATGAGAAGGGATTTTTTTACTGACCAGTCAGCTCCAAGGTCAGCCTCCTTGTCAATAGAAGGGAACCGCATAACCACGAAAGCTGTAGCAAACCAAGCGTCAAAATTACGCGTAAGGTACCAACATTATGCTCTCTGGAACATGACCCTGGAGAGACAAAAAAGAAGAAAAATTGCGATCTCTCCAGGCAAACCATGACAAAGTCAAATTCTTTCCCGCACGGATCCAGGAATGCAAGGGGATCGATCGATATGCCAAGCAATCCGTGCACCGAAACAGGGCAAAGAAGCGCGATCGATTGCACATTACCGAAATACCGACCTCGACGCGATGAATCGCGAATCAGGAGCGCCGATTTCCCCTCTCCGCGCGGCGCCTGGCCGGAATTCACCAAAGATCGAATCGGGAAAAAGAGGCAATATTACCAGTACACGATCACGGAAATGGGGCCGGCGATTCAAGGCGCCCCGGATCGATCAATCCGGGCGGCGCCGCGCATCACCTCGGAGCTCCCGACGCGATCCATTGCGTGCCGCGCAGCGCCGGGCGGGCGATCGGTGGAGACGAGCCGCGAGATCGCCGAGGTCGGAGGCGCCGATCTTTGCCGCTGGTTCTTGAGCCGCGGCGGCTGTGCCGAAACACACTAACACACAACGAAGAATGAATGGGGGAAGAAAAAAAATGGATGAATGAATGGAGAAGGCGATTCGCGATTAGAGGAAAAAGAGAAGGGAGTCCACACTTCACAGCCCGTCAAAAAGCTTTCTTACATGGGCGATTTACCAGTTTCTTTAGCCCAAAGAAACTCTAATAATAACCCGGGTGCGGCAATTAAAATGCAAGGGGCAAGGGCGTCATTGAGGGGTACGGAAGGGTAAAAAAGGGAATTTAGGGCGAAGGAACATCAGTCATGTCACGCGGGGTGGATCCTCATGGGAAGCCGAGCATGACGTGGCGTGATCGTCACGGTGCGATCTAGCGCCCGCCAGGCCGCCACGTGGCGGGTTACCCCGTCGCCAGGATCGGACGGATCGCCGATTTCCACCTAATTCAAAAAGAAAGGCGGTGTGCTGCAGCTTCAACGAACCATAGGTCCCCAACACGTGAAGCTGTGGAATTTAGGGCAATCGAGCTCACGCTATATCGATTTTTTATTGTGCTGCTGCTGCCCACCACCTTTTGTTTGATCTTTGATCTTTGGTTTTATTTATAGCGTGGTGCTGCTTATGTCACGCCGAATATCTGGTTGATGGCGTCGTTTGGCCCGATAGCCTTGTGTTGTGTGTGTGTGTGAGGAGGAGCACGGAATATACCGAGATAGTATTTTTAATCGTAGCATCGTACGTAGCACGGGTATTGGATGGATTTGGTGGATTCTTTTGTTTGCAACACAAAGTTGGTGTTACCCAGCGGGACACATTTGTCAATGTGCTTGTAAGACACTAGTGGTCTACTTTACCCAAGGTTTCACACTTAAGGTTTCATCCTAGCCTCACATTTTAGGGCTTTCCACGTGTCGTGCTAGATCCCACGTTAAAACGATCGCACCACGTCGGTGGGACACGCGTCCAGTTTTTCACACTTGGAGGACTGATCGCACTTTAGGGCCCTTGAGAAGGGGAAGAGGGAGCTGCTGCTGTTTGTGCTGCTTGCGCTTCAATCGCTTCGATTTTGGGGATGGAGGATAAGAATGTGGGTGTGAATTCTTGCGGGGCTAGCAATGCCGCCAGTATGATCGGCGAGAAGAACGAAGGCGCGCAACAAGATTCTCCCTCGGCGCTGCGCGATGTTGCCGAGGGAGGGCTTTCGGGTCAGCAGCAAGCTCTTAAAACTTCGTCCAAGGCATATGATCCATACACAGGTATACATCATTCTCGGAAAGGAAAGCGCGTTTAACTTGGGCAAAAGGATTTTTTTTCTCTTGTCAGGAGTGCTGGTTGATTCTCAGGCTGGAATGGTGACTTCTCTAGATGAAAGTCTCGAAGGAGTCGATCCAAAACAGAAAGAGCAGCGTGGTAATTATTTTTTGTTCTATCTCCACATCTTGAAAAACCGCCTTTGTTCAGATAAAGCAGCGCAGCGCTTAGAGAAGTTGGAAGATCCGTCTTGCGATGACAGTAGAATGAGCGCCCGGATTAAAGTTCATGGCTTTGCGACCAGTCCGTTTGCTGGTAAGGACAACGTAAACCGATTGATCGACCTTGTTCTAAAGTGTTTTGACAATTCTTCAGCTCGAAACGATGGATCGGAACCCGCAACTGATATAAGGTCACAGTGACGATGTTATGTTTCATTCTCGTGTTTGCTGTCAGTGTCTGTATTTTCTAGTTCTGCTCTTGTTGCCTGGTATGTTCTCGTGTAAAAAAGAAAGCTTTTTCTTTCGAATTTTCAAGTCTGTGCTTGATGTAAGCTGCAAATCTCGTCCAGGTATAGTTTAAGGCTAAGCTTCCGAGTTCCTCTACTTAACTTTTTCTTTTTTCTTTCTTTCATTGTTTTCTCTTTTTGTAGATCTTTGCCAGTCTCAGCAGCGACAATGAGCATGCTGCAGAGAGTTGTGACAGCAGGTCTCACTGAAACCGCCGATCTCTCGCTGAAGGACATGGCTGCTTGCGCATTTGGAGTGGTCGATAGCCACACGGAGGCGATCGTAAGCACTCTTCCTCCTTGTACTCCAGGTAATAAATTCTTTGTGAGTTCGTGCGTTTTAAGAACTGACACACATCGGTTTTTAAAGGCCGAGCGAACAACTCCGGGATGGTTCCTGGCGCCGATATAACGGAGCTCCCCACAACCTCGACATTGTTAAAGAAGACGCATATCATCCCAGACTTGCTAGACAGGTTCTTTTCTTTGTGTTAAACGCTCAAGCTAGTGCTCTTTTTTACGTACTTTATTTATTCAGTGTGGAGGAGGATGGATTTTTTCTGGAGATAGCCTTCGGCAACTTCCAGGTTTTTAATGGAATTATCATCGACCGAGAAGTAATGCACGGACCACCGTCCGTAAGAGTGGTAGAAAGATCTGGTGGATCGAATTCCAGGCTGAGAAGCTTGTTCTTGCTGCTACTCGTGGAGCTCGAAGCCGGTGGAGAAGATTACTTGCAGTGGATGGTCTTGAAATCTCTTCAAACTGGTATACTCTACTTCAAAAACTCTTTCGCAGAGTTCTCACATTGGAATTTTCTTTCCAGGCTTTGGACACGAAGAAATCCTCGAGTATCGTCAAATGCCGTCCATCTCCAAAGGGAGGCACAAGCACGTCTTCCTTCTCTTCGACACAAAGGAGGCATGGATGCGGGAAACGGACGCCCCGGATCGCGGGAGATTCGACGTCCACGATTTTGTCACGCGTCACGAATTTGGGGCGGCAGTCGCCGCCGTTTACTTCGAATCTGAGACAGTCTGTTAGAAACCAGGCTGCCACGTGGCAAGCGGTTGCAAAGTGCCGCGGCCCGGGAATTCGCTGCTGGCCGTTGGATCAATCTGGGCCTCAACGGCCAGCATTTTGTTTGGTGTTCTTGGTTCTAGGGTGAAATATTATCGTGTATCTCCTCGCGATGGCTGGATCAGACGCTGGAATCTCTCATCTCAGCCCGGTAGCGCTTGCATTGGACGATGTTCTTGCGCGGCGGGAGCGCATCGAGCGCGCATTTCAAGAGCTGGAGTCCCGGCGGGCCGCGCTGGAGAGCTGCACGATCGAGTGGAAGCAGCTTGAGGAGCACTTCGCTCAGGTGGAAGCGGCGCTGCGGAAGAGGTACGAGGAGCTCAGCGATCGCGAGAAAGCCCTAGACGATGTGGAGGAAGGGCTGAGCCGGAGGGAGGAGGCGATCGCCGCGCGGGAGGAAGCATCGCTGGCCAGGGTCCAGGAGCAGCGCGAGGCAGCGATCGCGGCCATTGTGGAGGAGAAGCGGCGATTGAGCGAGGAGCGGCAGGCCATCTATCTGGAGAACCCGGGGACAGGGATTGGCAATATCTGCAACCCGGAGGAGAATTGCGGATCCCCGGCCTCGGATCACGATCCTCTCGCCGCCCAGCAGCAGCATTCCGAGGAGAGCAACGATTCCCCCACGAACGGGCAAGGCAGCAGTGGAACACCCACGAAAGAAGCAACGCCAGTGCCATCGCCCGCCCCAAAGCAGCCGACGGTCAACTCAGTGGTGGCGGAGGTGAGAGTTCGTCCAGAGCTTAAAACACTCTGTGAGAACATGGACGGGGAAGGCTTGAGAAGGTACGTGAGTGAGCATAGGAAGGATGTGAGTGCATTGAGGTTGGAGTTGCCGGTCGCAATTCGGTGTGCCATTGATCCGGCTCGTCTCGTCCTGGATGCCCTCGAGGGGTATAGCATCCCGTCTGATAGTGAGAGTGGTGGTGGTGGTGGTGGTGGTGGTGGTGGTGATAGAAAGGAGTCAGGGGTCTCGGCTAATCGCCGTGCTTGTGTGCTCATCTTAGAGAGTGCTGGCTCGGCTTTGGCCGACCCGGTTCTAGGAGTCGAGCATCCGGTGGTGCCGTTTAACATCAAGGAGCGTGCCAAGGAGCTTGCTGGCAGATGGAAGTCTAGGATGGATGTCCTCAAGGACTCTAGCGGTGCTGTGGCATCGGAGAATTCATTGGACGCGCAGGTGTTCTTGCAGCTCCTGGCAACTTATGGGATTGCCTGGACAATTCCATGTTTTAGACTCTCTATGGCATCATGGTTGCTAGTGGCAACACCCTCGAGCCCCCACTTGATTCTCCACTCCCCCGAGTATGATGATGAAGAGCTTTGCAGGCTTGTGACCACTGTCGCACGGCGCAGGCAGTCTCCTGCGCTTTGCAGGGCCCTGGGACTGGCCCCGAAGATACCAGGTCGGTGTCCTCAATCGTCTTGTGTTCTTTGCGAGTTGTTCTCCGCGTTGGTTCAGTTTTTGCTTTTGTTTGTTCAAAGCTTTCTGAGAATTACGTTCGTTTCGTCTTGATGTCTTTGTTCTTCCAGATGTGGTGGACAAGCTTGCGAAGGAAGGAAAGCAAGTTGAGGCACTGGCTTTTGCTCATGCGTTCGAGATTATGGATCGAGTTGAACCTGTGCCGCTGCTCAAGGCCTACCTCAAAGATGCTCGAAAGTCAGCTCAAGTGATCCTGAAGAGCGGCAACAACTCAGCTGCAGCACAGGTACCACAGAGTTTTTATATTACTCTACTTTTCTTTTGACAATGTATTTGTTCCTGTAAAGAACGACTCGTCGATGAAGGAGCTGTCAGCTTTGAAATCTGTCATCAAGTGCATCGAGGAATACAAGCTGGACGCTCAGTTTCCTCCGCAGTCGCTGCAGAAAAGGATCGATGTGCTGGAGAGGGCCAAGGCCGACAGGAAACGAGCAGCAGTCGCTGTCAAAGCACAAGCCAAGCGTCCTCGAGCTTGCAATGGAAATGGAGCTGTATATGGAAACGGTGAAAGGAGCTTCTATCGGCCATCGGACAGAGCTCAGTTCGGTGGCGTCGGCCTCTCTACCTACGGCTTGGCCCCCCAGACAGGATATGACAGGAGGAACCAAGGGGGGTTTGCAACGACGACATACACTGGAAATCGAACTCCAGTTTCAATGTCTACCTCATATCTGTATTCGGCTGACGGGCTGGGTTCGTCGCTCTACGGGTCTGCAGCTTATGGGAATCCTTCTTACAGCAGCTACCAGTTTGGAAGTGGACTTCCTCCGCCACCCCCAGCTTATCAAGCGTCCTTCCTGCACTGATGTGTAAGTTTCTAGTGTTGCTTTCCTTCTATTTTACTGAAGTGTTTAGGGTTCAGGGTTTTGGGGGAATGCGGCCTAGCTGGAGGAGAGCTCGATGGCATAGGTACTGCGAGTTTCATTCCAGTGCGGCAGCAGCAGCAGCCCCCTCTACCACTGCGAAGAATGGCAAAGGCTCTCACTACGGATCGTTCTTCCAATTTCTTCGGCAACACCCGCAGGTCGGAGGCTTGGCTCCAGCAGACCGAAATGGAAACGGGGCAGTGGAAGAAGAACCCAGTACGTCGGAAAGTCCAGCAGAGGAGGAGACGCCGCTCAACATTCAAGCAGGAAATCTTCACATGTATCGACCATCTCGTCCTCCTCGGTGGGAGCCCTTCAAGTCCCGGGACACGATCGGCTCGTTCTTTTCAAAGATGGAAGCAGCTATAGAGGTGGGAAACGTTCTCCGGGAAATGGGCTGGAACGAGGATAGTCAGGTGAAAGTCGAGAAGCTGAAAGTGCCGTGGAATCCTCTGGTCGTCCTACAGGTGCTTAGGCAGCCTTTAGAACCGGATGCTGCATGGGGATTCTTTCAGTGGTTGAAGGGAGTTGAAGGATACAGGCACACAGAGCATACTTACAACAGCTTGATCGAAGTTTTCGGAAGAGTCAAGGATGTCACGGGTATACAGAAGGTTTTAGACGACATGTCCGCTTACGGCTGTGGGATGAATGTGGTTTTGTTCACTACAGTCATACATTGGTACAGCCGGGCCGATGATATCGACAGAGCGGTGGAAATGTGGAACCAGATGTTGAAAGTGGGGTGCCTGCCAAACGTGGTGACTTACACGATGCTCATGAGCCTGCTTACGAAGCTCAAAAGGTTTAGACAAGTTGGAGAAATTTTCAAAGACATGGTCAGTGCTGGCTGCCGGCCCAACGTGAGAACTTACACCGTGCTCATTCAGTGCTTGGCCTCGTCAGGAAACTTGGACGCAGCTCTCTTGGTTTTTGAAAAGCTGGACAGTTTGAAGGCTTCTCCAACAGCTGCTACTTTCAGAGTGCTCATGGATTCCGCCGCCAGTGCTGGCGACTTGGAGCTACTCAAGGGGCTCTTCGAAGGGATGAAGAAGGCGAATCAGAAGCCAAACGGGAAAATGTACTTCACGGTGATGGACTCACTGAAGAAGGCTGGCAAGCTGACCGAAGCAGCGCCTCTCCTCGAAGCCATGGAGAGTATGATCGAGGCGGACCAACTTTACGCAGACTTTCAAGCTAAAACTCCTGATCAAGAGTCCACCAAGGAAGAGGATGATCGCCGCGGCTCTAGCGGTGGTGAAACTAAGGAACGGAGCGTCCCGTTACAGGATATGGAGGTGATGGAAGGCTTAGACAGGCCTCTCGTCGACATGAAGGCCTTCTCGACAATTATCTACAGATGGACGCCCGAGACCGCCGCGGCTTTGGAAGCCGCAAACTTCCGGTGGGATCCCTGGAAGGTCTTGCGGGTGCTCATGGGAATGAGAGACGTGACGGCGGCGCTCCGCTTCTTCTACTGGGTGGAGAAGCAGCCGGGATACAAGCACGACAGCTTCGTCTACACCAAGATGATCAGCCTGCTGGGCCGCCACCACCACTTCTCGCAGGTGGAGGAGCTCCTGATGAAGCTCCAGAGCAGCGACATCGAGGTGAGCATCGTGACGATGAACTCCATCATCTTCACGCTCTCGGTGTCGCACAACCCGGACCTGGCCATGAAGATCTTCTACTGGATGAAGGACTTGAAGGTGAAGCCCAACACGCGGACGTACACGACCGTGATCGACATGCTGGTGAAGATGAGGCACTTCGACCGGGCCATGGCGATCTACCAGGAGATGCTCGACGCTGGTTGCAAGCCCGACGCTCACACCTACACAGTGCTCATCCAGTCGCTGGGACGGGAGGGGAAGATCGATGCCGCGGAGCACTTGCTGGAGAAGATGCCGCTCAATGGCTGCAAGCCCAACGTCGTCAACTACACGTCGCTCATCAACTCGCTCATCCACTACGGGCGAGTGAGCCACGCGCTGGCGGTGTTCAAGAGGATGCAAGACGAGGGGGTGATGCCAAACTCCATCACGTACTCGCTCATGTCCAAGGGGCTCAAGCGCGCAAACATGCTCCACGATCTGGTGGAGGTGGAGAAAAAGATGGCCACCATCGATTTCTGGAAGCAGCAGCGTGTCAAGTCCGAGGACGAGACGCTCGTGAACGAGACGATCCTCAAAGCCTTGCTCCCAGAGTTAAAACGCGAGAGCCAAGATCAAAGACAAACCGAGTAGACGATCCTCGAAGCTTTGCTGCCAGAGAGTTGGAACGCAAGAGCCAGGATCAAAGACAAACCGGGAAGAACAAAACTTTGGTGCTCGGTGGATTTTTGGGCCCCTTTTGGAGAAGAATGTATACAGTGGAAGGAGTTTCTAGTGGGATTGCTCCAAGAGGATGTTGGTAGCCGCAACCATGTCGTTTCGAGCTTGGCTCAGAGCTTGGATGGCGAGGCCTCTATCGAAGCCCATTGAGACAAGAGTGGCGATGGATTCTTCCGGAGGAGGCGGTGGAGGAGCGGCTGCACGGGCGGGAGCTTGCGGAGGAACGAATGGTCCCTGCAAAGATTATGGTCGCTTAGAACTTGTGTTCTTCCTTTGGAAACAAAAACAAAAAGCTCTTTTTTACCTCGACTAAACGTCGCGAAGGCTCTCTCAAGCCTCTGGGGGCTGGCGATGGCCAGCTCAAGAGAAGGGGGGAGAAAATTCGAGAGAAGAACGATGCCACGCATTTTGGAAACTGTTTGGGTGACGATTTGTGTCAGGCGAAACAGTAAAAACCGGATTTTGAGCTTACCTTTAATCTTCTAATGCCAAAAATGTTGGATCTGTATGTAAATCCCGCCAGCACCCCGCACAAGCCTGGTATCAGAGATTGTCTCCACGAGGAGAGTAGCAGCTGCGCAAAGAAACTTTGCATTGTTGCGGTACAATTCAAGAGAGAAGATCTGAGAACCTGAAGGCCAGCCAGGTACACGAAGGTCTTGTCCGAGAACTGCATTCGAAAAACTCGAAAGCGCGTAGAGATTGGTATGTCGAAGAAGTACGGTACAAAAGAAGCGAAGATCAATCCATAAGGTCCCGGCGCTAGGCTGATACCGGAAGTTGTGGGATCTGCGAGCACCCGAAACTCATCTTAGATTCTATAAAAGCGGAGTTTCTAGAGCTGATTACCTCTGAAAAATGACAAGACGGAAAGTTCCAACAGTGTCGAGATGATTGTAGTTGTAAGAACGAACACCTGTGATCAATCCATGGTTAGCAAGCTAAAAGAATTTATATCTTCTTATCAGCTCATACCGAGTACTTGTTTGATCCGATCTGCCGTTCAAACACCCGGAAGAAATAAATTAAATAGAGACCGAAAACTAGCTCGGGAGTCGAAGAGAAAACGCAGGTCGCCGTCCCGAGACGCCATAGCTGGAGATTTTGTACTACGGCCTACCAAAAAATCCTAGAGGTCAGCATCACAAGGGAAAAAAAGTTCTTTTTTGGCGCAGCTACTAGTCTGCTTACCTGATAGGAAAGACCACAAGCCTTGATGATGCTCCTCCGCGAAGTGCCGACGAGCAACGTCGCCAATCCGCACACCACCACAACGCCCTTCGTGATTGGAGCATTCTCTGGAGATCGGGAGAACGCAATCAGCTCAATCAATCAATCCAGACGGAAATTACTCACGAAATCCCGACGGCCCGGCGTTCATGACTGCTGCGCTCCACTCGCCGCTTACAATTCCAGCGATTCAAGCTGCATTCGAGCGCCAAGCTGCCCCGATCGAGCTCGATCGTCCCCGCAAACAATCTTGACGCTTCCTTCCACAAAAACCCTAGATTTAGGGTACCAAATATCAAGGGCTTCCGTACGAAATGTCCACGTGGAACTGCCAGGCGTACACGTGGCTGCCGTTTGCCACGTGTTGCCACGTGTACGCCGGCCGGTTTCAAGTGTTTGAATTTGAAAGCCATAGGGAGGAGCGTTGGAGGGAGCCATGTAGGCCGGCGCGCACGGTGTCGCTTTAGGGTTAGGGCTGATGGGGTTGGATTGCGATGGCGCCGATGGCACTGGGCCGCGCGCCATCATGGAGCGCAAGCGGATCGCCAATGCGCGGCAGACGGCAATGCGGCAGAGGTAAGCGCCCTTCTCTAGTGTGAAATTTCGGGGACATTCGTTTTCTTTTCCAAAATTTCGAAAGAAAAGACTCAGCTGATCGTTGTTATATTGCTTAAACTGCTCTATGAGCTTTCCGGAATTGTTTTTAAAATTCTTGAGTCTGGTTTAGTCCTTTTCTTTGTTTTGTCTTATATAGAATGATCTTGCCATAAATTCTTCGTTGTTCTCTTTTTTTATTGGATAGTCGTGTTGATTTTTTCTCTTTTGGCATGTTATGAAAAGTTTTACTCGAGCTTCAGTGCTAATGACTTTTACACTGCAGAAAATTTCAGCGACTTGCAAGGCAGCAAGAAGAGGAGGATAAAAGGCTTGTGAAAGAAGCCTTGGAGAGCAGGAAAAAAGAAAGAGCGCGGTTGTCTGCATATTTGTATCTAACAATTCCGAAGGATAAAACGCAGCAGCCATTGAGAACGCGTCAGAATTCCACGGTAAAAGCAAAACCAAGCAAGCCTTGCATCGTACAAAACCAAGACTTTGCCGCAAGGCTCAGAGAGACAATGAAAGCTGCTGCTCAAAACAGTTTCTTGCGTGATGAGACTCGGCAGCTTTTCTTTCGAATGGGCACACACGTCCCAAGCAGAACTCCATCAGAAGACTTGACTTGGGATCAGTCGCGGTAAGAATTTTCCTTTTGGCTTTGTCTGCTTTAGATATATTAACCACCTTACAGTTTGCTAGGTTCCTTCGACGAGGAAACGGACAATGCACTTAGAAAATGTGCAGCTGCGAAGAATCTGAGAGTGACGTTCCATCCGGCTGCAGTCCTTAAAGAAGATGCACTGGGTCATGGTCCGGAAGCGGAAGGGCAGCTCTTCAGCGAGCAATTTGGCCGTTTTGCCGAGTCCAGGGAAGGAGACGTAGTAAGACCGCTATCACCGACTATAGTTTTTGATGGCCCGGATCCTGATTCGTCATCGAACAGCTCGTTTCTGGCTCAAACTACAGCAGAGACTTTGTCCAAGCCAGAAGGCAGGTTTTCCATCCCTCAAGCTTTGGCTGCTGATGAACAGAAGACTTCCATAGACGACTTGAATGCATTTCTCGAAGAGGCACTAAAGCTCCGACTGGAGAACGAAAATGCTACGAATCGGATGATTGCTGAAGTTACCGGCCTTGAATCACGTCTGGACGACTTACAACCAATGACCTCACAAAGGGCATGCGGTTTGGGAAACGAGCAGGACGAGACGAACAGGTGCTCGAGCATGAAGGACATGCTAGGAGTAGGAGTCTCACAAGACACAATACAATTTCCCGAGGCCTCGGCATGTAGCAGGGACGAGGACGAGTCACAGAGGACGATGCTACGTAGAGACTGCAAAGTTTACAGGTCTGAGGCTTGGGAAGTCGGTTTTAGTGATTGCGACAATTGTAGTGAGCAGCAGTGCGCAGTTCCTGCGCAGCAGGATCCAGAGCCAACGACTTACAGTGAATTTCCGACCTTTGGGGATAGTACTTCTGAGGTTGCCTCGGGCAAGCAGTGTTCTACCGGTGGCAGTAGTTTGCCTTCGTATCCAGCGAGAGATGGAAATTATCATTCCTCAAGTGGTACTGTAGATTCCCGGGGATTCAAGCACAGGGCCCGTGTAGCTGATCTGACAGCGCTGTCAAGAGCAGAGACCAGTGTGCTTGCGTCGATAGAAAGGCTTGACTGGAAGCTCGCATCCGCAATCGCCAGATGCCGGGATTCCGGCCTATCTGATGGTCACTACTCAGTACAGTCCGCACCAACAGTCATTAGTCACGGGAATGGTAGCACAGGCTCTAACAACGCCAGGAGATACGACTCAGCTAGAACTCAAGTTCGTATTCTTGTAGTTTTGTATTACGTTTTTTTCTTTTCATTCTTTTGTCTGACTGATGAATCTTTGTCAGAGTTCCCATTGTTTGAACCGATCCCGAAGGCGCCAAAATGTTGGACTGACAAATAAACGTCACGACGGGAGGTTTTCATGCTCACAGAGGTGAGCAAATTTCGCTCTTCCGCGGCGTATGACGTCATTCTTAATCTGTCGAACGTTACAGCCAGCCGCGAGGTGAGAATTTTCCCCAGGTTGTGGACAGGACACTAGAGCCGAGATGCGCACCTTCAAACGGCAGGGAAGGTGTTATCGTGTTTCATCCGGATGCTTACTGCTTGCTGAATCCAGTTGCGAGTCCTTGACTGGGAAAGATGGCCAAATCATTCTTCTCAGTACTAGTAGAGGCACAGGTGGGTGAAGTAACGGGCACAGGGGGAAGGCGAAGAAATTCAGGTGAATCGAAGTCAAAAGGCTGGTGGTTTGTACACCCGACTGCTGCAAGGAACGCATGGACTAGCTAACCTCCCCCTCACCAACGCGACACATAAACTAAAGAAACGATGACAGCACCATCTTTTGACTTCCACACCACACGAGTCCCACACTTTCGGTATGACGGTACTTTGCGTCCTGGTGCTCGGAGACGGAACGATCAGTGGCAACGAAGAAGAGGCTTAAGATATCAAAGTACATCGCACAGGCTCCTGTTTTGCTGCCAAGCGTGAGAAGACTTGTTTAAGTCAGCAACGGCACAGACGACCAATATCTTCTCAGTGGGAAAGAAACCGGAGTGATTACAAGATTCCGAACATACAACAACGATTTTCTTTTCTCCTTGGAGGCAACGAATGGGAAGCCGGCAAGGTGGTCCTGTTTCTTCTTCCTTTGCCTTTTGTTATTTCTAAACGTTTTCAGCTTTTCTGTTATTCCTTCCAGGACGCAAAATTCTGGGTGTCAAAATAATGGTTCCTCCAAAACTAGAGCAAAAAACTTAAGAAGGCTCGGATATCGATTTCGAGTGTCCCAGCCGAAGTTCCAAGTCAAGCGCATTCGCCTCGCCGTCGACCACGATCAGTTTCATCCCGGACAGATCAGGACACTTCATCATCACATTTCCATTCTCGTCCGGTGAAGGCTGGTTGAAGCTGACAGCAACAGCTAGTTTCTTTCGGAGGCTACCGGTCGAAGAGTCGCTGCCGCTGCTGGAATTCAGGGAGGCCAAGTTGTGGGACGGCGACGACGAAAGCGACGAGCTGTTGTTAGTGGTGCTCAACGACACATTCGGTGGAGACAGTGACAATTCCGGACCAGCAGCAGTGCTCGCAGCAATGACGGGATGAGGAGAAAAAATGGCAGCAGCGGCGGCAGCAGCAGCGGGCATTTGTTGTGGATAGACGAAATTCGCAGCGTGGTCGGGATGCATATGCATAGGTGGCCGGTTTAGAGGATGGTGATACGGATACACCCAGCAAAATCCAAGCGCTGGTGGAGTGGAAGGAGCTCCAGAAGCTGACGAATGATCGTTGGAGCTGGGAATGCTGGGAGCATTGCCGGCAGGATTGTTATTGCTGCCGGCTCCAACGCCACCGAGAGGGACAACAGGAACAGGAGCTACGCCGGCGGACGAGGAATTGGAGGCCGCCTTGGAGATCAAGCCGAGCTGGTTGGCGTATGCTCGCTCGCGACGATGGACGTTCATGTGGCCGCCGAGAGCTTGGGCCGTCCGAAACTCCCTGGCGCAGAAGCTGCAAGAGTAGGAGCGTGGAGGCCACTGGCCGCTGCAGCTGGCGGCGTCCTCGGCGAAAGCTCTCACTTCCCAGGAATCGTCCTCCGCCGCCGCTGCTGTTGGAGCTCTCGAGTTCCATTGCTGCCGCGCCGAAGAAGCTCTCCAGTTGGCCATGATCCCGGATGAGAAACTCTTGGGGGAAGTTCCAGTTTGGTGCTGCTGGAGTGAGAGCTCCCGCTTGCTGGAGTGGATCACAAACAGGACGAAGTGTGAGCTCCCTGCTCGCTGGAATGGATCACGAACAGGATGGATGGAAGCGCTACTCTGACAAACAGAATGGAGTGATCGCTGGACAGGATCGGATCACATGACAGGATGGATCACGAGACAGAATGGAGCTGTGCTGCTAGCTACGATCGCAAACCACGCAGACAGGATGGATTTAGTGCTGCTGGCTAGATCACAAGCAGGATAGATGGTTTGCTCCACACCACTCGAGCAGGGGAGAAAAGCTCACAGGGAAGGGGGAAGAAGATGATGGAAGGAAAAAGGAGAGAATTGTTTATACGAGCAAGCACCGGGAAGATTATAAAACACTGCAGCCAAACAAGGGGGGAGCGAGCAAGGAGGAGATGAATACTTATACAAATCCGCTGGGTACCTACACGGCAATAGTTTAGTAATTTGATAAGCGAGGGGGTAGGAGAAGGGCACGAGCGTGCAAAAGAGGGAGGCCTTTGGCACACAGCATTGACAAGCTTGGCTTTTCTCGCGCGACCAGCCGGGATATTCCACCGTGATCTCGCGCCAAAGTTCAAATTTCGAATTTGAATGGTCCGGGCGAATCGTGGCCGTCGGCTGTACCAAGGCTACTGTTTTTGTTGTTTGGCTATGAGAGTGGGATCTTGGGTCCTACAATTGCCGGCCGCGAGATCGTCTTATTCAGTGCCCCGTTTTGCGTCTCACGGGATGCTCTTGCTAGTGTTTTGATCTTGAGCGGTGTGTTTGATGTGGTGGAGTGGAGTGAGTGGCAGCTTTTGGAGGGGATTGGGGAGGTTTCATTCTTCTTCTTCTTCTGCTTCGTCTTTGCCACTTTGCGGGATGAGCAGTGTGTTGAGAGAGGTTATTTGAGAAGGGGCCAACAGTTTGTACTACTTAAGGTGCGTCACTCTAGGATTGTGTGCTGTTTGTTTCCAGTTGGATTGTGGGTTTTGAGATTCTTTGATGGTTTGTGGGGTGCTCGCGGCCAAAGTAGTAATGGGTCAATTTTGTTCTTGTTCTCAAGTTTCACTTTGACCCAAGATCATCATCGCTATTGTTTGTTTACGTTTTAAACTAAGATAATACACTTTAAGCGCAAGAAATATTACTTAAAGATTTGTTTTCATCACTCCTAATCGTCCGTTCCAATAGTTAGACGAGTCACTCGAGACCAAAGTGGTCAAAGTTGAAGCTCGAAGTGTATGTTGTTAACATCATTCAGAATAAAAAATCTCAGTCAGTGAGCCCCGAGGACAATCCCACGGAGCCTGTTCACATCACAAACAATAGAATCAGGGGGAGAGAGAGAGAGCACTTACTTGCACAATAGTGGCGGGTAAGGGTGACGTCCGTGCTCCTCGATGAGAGATCTCATGCTTGCAGTCCTCAGTTGAAGAACCTCAAATTCGTCAGCAGCACTGCTCCAAGGCTGCCTCCCAGAATCTTGAGGCAGCAGCAATAAAGCAAGCTTTCCTGGTCCCGCACCACGTTGCTGGACCTCCCCCCACAAAAATAACAATCCAGGGACATCTCCCACTTGGGATTTTGGGCATCACGGCCAGGCCCGGCTAGGCCTTGTCCACTGCAGATACCAGGCTCGAAAATGGACGACCGCAGGCCAGGCGCTGTAGCCACCACTTTTGCAGCAGATGTTTTAGAGACAAACGTCCCCGTGAATGACTCCACTGACCTCTAGAGCCTCATACAGCTGCTTGCTCATCTCATAAACGTCAGCCGGTGCAAACTCCCTCGAGAGCAATTGCTTGGAGACGGAATCACCGGCATCCTTGACAAGCATCGCTGGCCTGTTGGCACCTTCGATTGTCACCGGGAAAGCAGTGCCACCACCGTCACCCAGCATGCCCTGGATATCATGTCTCTCTCCGTCTGGAACCACCTTTCCCAGCCTCCAGTAGGGAGCTCATCCGGTCCTGTCTACGTGCCTCAGCGTCTGGGCCAACTTTGAGCCACCACACTTCGCCTTCCCAAAAGACTTTCATAACCACAGATATTTTGTTGTTCCGGGTAGCTCCCACGACAGTTACCAGGATTTCCTTGAAGTCTGGCTTACAGGGAAATACTCGTCGCTGACCCAGTAACCAGCCCTGGTCGTGAGTTTGACGCACCCATAGTAGCCGTCCTTGTTCATTTCGCTACAAGGACTTATCTTGGATGCATTGGTCACCACAATCCGATGAAGAGCACCGGCAACCCACATCAAAGCCGGCGACTCGAGGTCTACTGTGTAGCTATCCCCTGGTTTGAAATCCCCACCGGCGAGTGGAAGCAGCGGCCCATTGTAAGCTTTCACGCGTGCCCCGTATGCATGGATCTGCCTCACGCACTGCACGTCGATGCCGTTCCCGACAAGACCAAAGACTTCGTTTTGGAACGAGTAGAACGGCTTAGTTTTCGTTCTCTGCTTCCACAACAAGTTGCCGAGAATCACCACCTCTCCCCTGGCCTCCGCGATCTTGTGGTCATCACCCTTCGTCCTCAGCTCCATAGCAACCCATGTATCGCCGATTTTGAAGAAGCTGTCTGGCCTCCTGGAGTACCCTCCCTCAAAAATAGAGTCCTCAGCCCCTTTCAAACCCTATGTAATGTCAACGAGCACCCCTTGCGCAGTAGCTATAGCTTTGGCAAGCACCACGAACAGACTACGCTGCTGTCAATACGACTCCACCCCATTAACTTTTTTGTCAGATTCGTCCGTGACTACTTGAACCAGGCATTCCTTGGAAGAGCGTCCAGGACGACGGCCTTCTTGCTTGCCCAAAAGTTTTGAAAGCTGTCACCTTCCATGTCCTGCCACCTTCTTACCAGATCGCGGTGAAGCTCCACAGTCTGCTGGTTATAGTCCGCCTGACTGTTTGGAGGTGCTCGTATGAAGGGCACGAACACTTTGGCCTGTTCGAGGTGGTCGTCCCCTGCTCGGGCGAGCGCGTCCTCCGTCATAGTCTGCGAAGAGGTAGTAAGGTTGGCCTCTATCGCACGTCTCTCGTGTTCATACAGGAAAAGCCCGAGCTTGTTTAAGGCGTCTTTCCACTGCAGTGAATTTATGAGCTACGTTGAGATTTTCATCAAAGAACTTACTGCCATGAAGAAGCCTCAAAGGCCTAATACTGAAGTAAGATACTAAGAATATTTAAGTATATTTTAGAATTGCAATTAAAAGGAATTAACTAATTTAATGGGACCGGTAAAACACAGGATTTTAACAACTGCAACAAGAAGATTATCCAACCCTTAGATGTTTTTATTAATCAAGAACAAAAGTTAAGAGAGGCTAGGCTATAAATAACTAGTGGTTATTTGGATTTTGCATGACCTTTGAAAAAAAAATTATATACAGACATTGTTTGTGGTGGTGCAAAATAATATGCAATCACATACAACAATTCAAGCACACATATATTTTTATTTTACATTTTTTTCCAGGCCATACCCTCCAAACCTACCATACAAGTGCCATATATGCAACTGGAATTCCTCTTGCTACCAAAAACTTCTTCACAAACTCTAATTTAATATTTTAATTTAATGGTAGTTTGATCAAAGATTTTAAGATACAATCGAGATCTTTCACTAACCATCCAATATATTTAAACGAAAGAGCCTCATTGATCATTGCAGTGGTGGCCCTAATTTTATATATATTAGGAAGTTTCAAACCAAATAATGAAAAATATGCCAACGGAGATAAAAATCAAAAAACAAACACAATTCTAAATGCAATGAGCAACTAATGGGTGGTCTTGATTAATTATTAAAAGAGATAAATCCCTATGCTAATGCATTCACAATATTGTAAGAAATAGAGAATGAAGTGTTAAATTCAACAAATATTCAAGGAGGCATAAGTGATATTGTAATACATATAAAAGGCAATTAGACAACTGATCCAAGATAATATAATGCACTAGGTTCAAATGATTTTAAACATTTAGTTGTATAAAGATGGTATTCATTGATGAATTTTTTTATTATGTCTACTATATACGATATTTTTAAAACAAAAAATATGTTCAATATGTTTAAACATGTAGTATCAAATCAATCAGATACTCTCTCTTCTATATTTAAATATAAAAATGTTTAACTATATATCTTATAATTATGATTATGTTAAAAAATATAAATACGCTTACAACTCTTTGAAATTATTAAAATATCAGAAATAAACACAATGCTCCCAGCGTAGCTGGGACTTTTGCTAGTATGTAGCATTAAGATTGAAATATTCAAGAGTAGCTTCTAATTCGCACCTAGGTTAGCTAAGTTAGGAATAACAACAAGAACAAAGATATCACTTTAGCCAAATCCAATTAATCTGCCAAATGATGGGAATTGTGAAAAGAGAAGATTTATAGTGTGTTCTCAAACAGCAAGTGGCAAATGATCCCAGATGTGAAGAAAGTATAAAGTAAATTAATAAGTCAATTATATTATTTATTAGGAACATTGATTTTATCATATTTATATAAAAGTACAATATTACCTTTCAAAACAACAATACATTTAACTAACATTGGCTGGGCAGTGGAGGGATGGTGGTGGCGGGCTAGGCTGAGCGGCCGTTGCGTGGGGTGGCATGGTGGCATGGTGGCGATGGCGTGCTTAGCGGTGTGGGCAGGGGTGTGCTGCGATGGCGGTGTGGCGCACTGCTAGCTAGCTGTGAAGCTCTCAAAAACACACCAGAAAAGTTTTTCCTTTCAATTGTAACGCATGACCTCGATCCCAGGTGAGAGCAACTTTACCGTTTTTCACGTTGAGTCTCCTGGAAAAAAAACACGAGATTTAAGTAAATAGATCCAACTTTGAATAGCCTTACACTGGATAATCTTTAGATTTCCTAGAAATCTCAGCAAAAACTAGAGAGCAAAAATTGGCTTGGAGAGACTTACAAAGCGCTCTACTGACTCGAGCATAATCTACAGCTGCTCGAAAAATCACGAAAATTCACAGTAAAGTGTAGAAGAATAGTGTTTTACTCAAGAAAGACTCACTCAAGCAACCTTGATTGGATGTATCAGCAGCAGGCTCCATCGTCTCTAGCTTTACTACGGCCAGCATTGTCGAACTCACAAAATCCCAAAGTTCCAATCAATCAGTCGAAACGTCACACACATCCTTACCATGTTTCCCATCTTGACAAGCGCCAATCCGTCTGCCAGCGACACAGCGTCTAGAAATCCACAAACAGGCGTCAGAACAAATCAAATCCTGCCAGAATCACGAAAAGTCTTACTCACTGAACAACACCTGCATAAGTTCAGCCTAGAGTTGCTTAATTTTTTTAATCCACTTTTTACTCGGAGGATGACGGCCTTGTTGCTCACCCAAAAGTTCAAGGCGCGATATAAGGGTCTTATCCAGATCTCTATATGTTAAAAGGGATATACCATGAATATCCAAGTCTAAAAGAAATAATGTTTAAAATATTAGTGAATTGTTTTTTGATTTCATTTATTTTATAGATATAAGCTAACATCATTATAGTTATCATAATACATAATTCAAAACGAAGATGATTCTTGTATATTCTCATCTGACACAACACTGTTAATACACAGAGAGCAAGGAAGTATGTTCCCCTCCTAGTGTATTCAATGATGCCAGGCCACTCTAATTTACATACATTGCCTTTGCAAAGCCCTCACGGAGCTCCTGCCATGGCATTGGCGCATTTGGCGAATCCCTCCTCCCCTTCTCTCTAGGCAGCGACTAGCGAGCAAGCTCGAAGCTCCGCGCCGCGCCATGGGCCATGGCGGCAGCGATGGCGACGACTACCTCTTCAAGATCGTCCTCATCGGCGATTCCGCGGTCGGCAAGTCGAATCTCCTCTCCAGGTACTCGCGCAATGAATTCCATCTCAACTCGCGCGCCACCATCGGCGTGGAGTTCCAGACGCAGAGCATGGTGATCGAAGGCAAGGAGGTCAAGGCCCAGATTTGGGACACCGCCGGCCAGGAGAGGTTTCGAGCTGTGACCTCGGCGTACTACAGGGGCGCCGTGGGAGCGATGATCGTCTATGATATCAGCCAGAAGCAAACTTTCGAGAATGTGGAGCGATGGCTGGAAGAACTCCGAGGTAAGTTACTCGGGATCGATTCATAGATCTATTCAATCAATCCTTTAGATCTCTTTCTTTGCATCCTTTTCCAAGCACTCCACCATCACATCCATTCCTCTTTCCTTTGTCATTTCTTTGGTTGTGTGATCGTCCACTGTTCTCTAGGTAGCGAGTATATTCTTTAGCTCTTGTGTCTTTGTCCTCTTTGCGGTCGTTGGAAGTTGCAGAAGATCCCACTGTTTTCTTTCTCTTTCTCTTTTCGTTGAACTTAGTTTGCTCTTCTCGAGGCGAGTTTTTCGAGGGTGTTTTTTCCATTTTTATTTTTGCGAGTGTTTGAGTCCTTTTCTATATTTCGCAGTTTGTCAGATTCTTTCTTTGCTTCTGACGTGATCACGGGGAAAATGTCTGACTTTGAGTGTTTCAGTTTACTTTCTCTACCATTGCTTCAAACATCCACAAGTCTTTGATTCTATTTTGTTTTCTTGCAGTGTACTCTGACTTTAGCCTGGTCACGATGCTCGTCGGCAACAAGTCCGATCTCGAAAGCTTGCGCCAGGTTTCCATCGAGGAGGCCACCGATCTCGCCGAGAGAGAGGGCCTCTTCTTCATCGAGACCTCAGCGCTCGACTCCACAAACGTGGCCGCCGCGTTTGAGACGGTGATCAAGGAGATCTTCGGCATGGTGAGCAAGAAAATCCTCTCCTCCGATTCCTCCAAGGCGGGGACGCTCAGCGGCACCAAGAAACTCGGCCTCGAGAATGGAAACAGCTCCAAACCTCAAGACTCCGGCCTAAGCTGCTGTTCTTCCTGATCACGCGGTTATTTAATATGCTATTTAGTAAATATTATCATCGACCTGTTATCTCAAAACAAGCTAGAGCTTTTCGATAGATATCTTGGCCAGCCTCTTTTTTAAATCCGGATCTATCGGGTTTAGGGCTTTGGTGTTGACTTGCCCTAACCCTAAGATTAGGTCAAGCAGGGGGGTGTAATGGCACATGGGGAATAGCTTCTAGAAGCTGTCACGTGGTCTCAGACAGGCCTTACGTTCCCTAATCTATTACACTAACACAGGAAATAATGTACGTGGCCAATGGGGCGACGAGATCGTGTAACCATACCACCAAGGTTTTTGTCGCGAGTACGGCAGCGGCCAGTGGCTCATCGCGATTGGGCCCAATGGTACTATAAGTCTCTCAAGGACAGGGTGTGTGTTCCTTGTTCTCGCAAGGCTCTTTGGATCTCTACTTCTTGTTCTTGCGAGGCTCTTTCTTCTGCCTTTGATGGCTGATTTCCAATCTCTCCCCGACGATCTCATCGTCGACAGCATCCTGTCCAAGATCAGGGACGCCAAGGCGCTGCTGCGCTGCTCGGCCGTGTCGCGGGATTGGCGGCGCTGGACGGCGCGCGTCCCGGCGCTGCATTTCGATTTCCCCAAGTCGTGGAAGCAGGATTGCGTGGTGAGGTCGCTCGACGCCGAGAAGATCGTCTGGGCGGCCATCTCCAGGGTCCAGGGCGGCGGCATCGGCGAGCTATCGCTGCGATTCTCCCCCACGGAGCCATCGCTCGTGTGTCTGTGCGAGAATGCCGTGCAGCTATGGATCCAGCACGTTAGCGCCAGCGTCCGCGAGCTCAAGCTCAGCAACAAGGGCTGCGCCTTCTCGGATCTCCTCCCTTCTCTCTCGGGATGCCCCAGGCTCTCCTCCCTCTCGCTCGAGTTTGGATACTTCGATGGAATCCCCCAGGGCTGCCGCTTCCCGGAGCTCAGGACATGCCGCTTCGCCAATGTGATCTTCCACGGCGACGATCTGGAGAGATTCGTGGCGTGCTGCCCGGCGCTGGAGGAGCTGACGATCGACGAGTGCTTCTCCACGCAGATCCCAGTCGTGACGCTGCGCAGCAGGTCCATCCGGGCGCTCGTCGTCGCCGACACGCGATTCAATCGCCTGGCGCTGGAGACCGAGAATCTGCGAGAGGTGTCGATCGCTCCTCCAAAGAGCTTTCCTGTGGATTTCCTCGGAAATCGTCCAGAAATCGCGAGCTGTGCCAATGCCGACAATTAGACAGCGAAAGAAGCATATTCGATTTGACCAAGAACCCTATAAAGGATCCATTTTATAGTGATAGTAGAGGATAGAGAGCTCTCTTTCGAGCGGATTTAAGAGAAGAGAAGCATTTGGGTTTCCTTTAAATCACACTCTAGTTTTGCACTTCTGTCGAACTCACGACTTGGTGAAGGAGAGTTTTCGATTGCAAGTCTTGTTGTTGCGGCCGATGTTGCAAACAATTTGGCCAGAGGTCAGCGCTGGTTTTTTCTTCGTCTTCTTAGATTTCTCGGTCTTTTCTTCGGCTGACTCTATCGTGGCCCGATCAAAAGCAGCAAGTCACGGAAAGAAGTTGTAAGGAATAACTCTTCGAGAAAACTAGGCCAAGTATATGACTGGGAAAGTGAGATGGGGTAAACTTTGGTGTAGATTTCTAATTCTACAGTGTCGTTTTTCAGCAATGCCGTTTTGATGAAGCACCTTCCCGGTGTCCTGACGAGCGTTGCAAAACGGACCGGTGTTTTGATGGTACCGCGCCGAAGTTTGCGATGCTTTCCGCCTGGCATGAACCAGAAGATTGTGGAGCGCGTCATGGAGCATTTCGAGTAGATTCGTCACACCGCCAGCGTGATGGCCTTCAAGTTCCATGTCAACTTCGACTCTGGATCAGTTGTGTAAGTGGTCCTTTCTTCCGTAGTTTTTTCTTCTTTGGTTTTCCGTTCTGGTTTCATGGTACTTTCAAAGCAGAGCATCCGGCAAGGCAGAGTGCTATCGAGCTCGTTCTCTCCAAGCACAGCAGGGCTCGTCGTCCACTTTCGCAGGACTTCTCCCGAGAGCAAACGCAGGAGCTTCTGGCCGTGATCCGAGAGAGGTCTGGAGTTCACTCCAGTGACTTGCGGTGGGCGATTCAGGCGCTTCCAGCAGTCGGGAGGGATTTGCAGCGGCAGTATAGCAACGATCGGTGGACGGGCAGCAACAACAACGACGATGGAAACAACCGAAGGGGCTGGCGTGGTCACGGAGACAACAGCAGTGGAGACTGGAGAGAGGCACCCGTCCCTCGTCGCTGTGAGAGTGCTGCTTGCATTCTCGGCTTTCCATCTGTCGTTTGCTTCCTCGCCACCACCGCAATGCTCGTGAGCTTGTAAGTTCTCCTCCTTGGCTCTTTGTGTTCTAGTTTCGTGAGCTTTGGCTTTCAGAGGAGCAGTGAACTTGTGGCGATTTGGACTTGCTTGGACAGGCAAGTTGGTGTTCTTGTTTTCTTTTGTTCGTTGAAAAAGTACAGCCGAGAAATTCTTCGTCCGAAAGCACGGAAGATTTCTGGCTTTGTTTTGGAATCTCGACACTCGTACATTGAACCTGTTTGACTAGTGTTGACTATTTTGACTCGAACGAATATTCTCCTGCCACGCGAGCCCTAAAGTCAACATTGCTTTACCGCCGCCTGTTTTGAATTGTGGAGAATATCCGCCCGTGACCTAAAAGGCTATGGCGGCAGGAGTACTTCTTCACGGCATTGGCGTGAAGCTCCGCGTCCATGGCAGCCAGGGTTAGGTTCCAATGCGCTTGGCGCCGCCGCCGGATCTCCCCCACTTCTCTCCCTCTCCTTAGGGCCGCGATGGATCCAGCGGCAGCAGCTCTGGATCATCCGCCAATTCCTGTCTACTCCACGGCGGCGCGGCGATCGCTCAGCCAGGCCAACGGCGGTGGCGACGAATTGCGGCCGCATCACAAGCCTCTCAGCCTGTGGCCGGGTATGTACCACTCGCCAGTGACCGCCGCGCTGTGGAATGCGCGCTCCACGCTGCTGGAGAGGGCCGTGAATTCGTCAAACGATGGGCCTTCGCAGGTCAATCTTCTCACGCGGGCTCCCGGCGAGAGCCGCACTAGCGTGCTCTACAACTTCGTGTCCGACGTTGCTCTTCGGGAGCAGTATAGGAATCCCTGGAACAACATCCGGATGGGCAAGCTCATGGAGGATCTGGATGCTCTGGCCGGGACGATTGCCATGAAGGTAAGAGATCTAGATCTCGCTAGCATTTTTTCTCTCTCGTTTTCTTTGTTCTTCTTGCTCATTCTTTGATGGTTTTTTTCTCCCTTCTCCAGCATTGTGCCGATGATGATAGCACGACGAGGCCACTGCTTCTAGTCACAGCATCGGTGGACAAAGTGAGCTTGAAGAAGCCTTTGCGTGTCGATGTCGATCTAAAGCTGGCTGGCGCGGTTGCATGGGTCGGGAGATCGTCCATGAAGATCCAAATGCAAGTCATCCAGCCTGCAACAGGTATAGCTCCTTGTTCAAGATCAAGTCCTCTCGCTTCTTCACTCCACAACTTTTTTTTCTCTCTCTCTTTTACAGATATTGTCACCGACGAGTCGCTCGCGCTCGTCGCAAACTTCACGTTCGTTGCCCGCGACTCCAAGACTCAAAAGTCGGCACCCGTGAACCATCTCTCGCCGGAGACCGACGAAGAGAAGGCGCTGTTTGCCGCGACCGAGCAGCTCGAGCTGAAACGAAAGCAAGCCCGGTCGAAGCAGCCCGACCAAGCCGACGACCAGAGAGTGCAGCAGTTGCTGGCAGAGGCTCGGGTGTTGACCGACATGCCGGCTCTGGCGGACAAGAACAGCATACTCATCCAGCACACCAAGCTGGAGAATGCGATCATCTGCCAGCCCCAGCAGCGCAATCTACACGGCCGGATATTTGGAGGATTTCTCATGCGCAGAGCGTTCGAGCTGGCGTTTTCTACGTGCTACGTATTCGGGGGGCACAGGCCAGTGTTCCTGGAGGTGGATCACGTCGACTTCCTTCGTCCGGTTCGTATATATACGCGTTGCAAAGAACTTGCTTGATCCAAGCTCTCCTTTTTTCACAACAGGTTGATGTGGGTGATTTCCTGCGCTTTAGATCCTGCGTGCTGTACACCGAGGAAGAGAACTCCGCGCGGCCGAAGATTCACGTCGAGGTGAAGGCCATCGTAACGCAACCCGAGTCACGATCGTCACAGGTGAGTCACAAGAAGTATAGAGAAGCGTGCTCAAGGTTTCTGGACTGTGTTTTCGCAGGTGTCAAACACATTCCATTTTACTTTCACGTTAGACACGTCGAGCTCCAAATCCGGGGACATGGTCGTACGGAGAGTGCTACCTTCGACCGAGGAGGAGGCACGACGTTGTGTTTCGAGGTACGACGCGGATCACTAGCGACCGTGCCGGTCTAGAGTGGAAAGTTACAACACAATGAGCGTAGGTTCGCCATCTTTTCTGACGTGCATGTACAGAAAGTGTGCCAACTTTCTACTCCTTTAATCATCATCTATTTTTTCTAACCTGAAAACGAATACCCTAATGGTTTAAGGTTGAAGAGATGCCACCTTTGGTGACGTAGGCGGAGAAGCAAGAGCAGACGCATTTGAGGCGCGCGCTCTTGAACGCTATGTGCGAAACTATGGACAACTATATTGGATTCCAGTTGCCGAGCTTTCCCTGGTGACTTACGTGGGCATCCTTTACCTGGGGCACCTGAGCCCCGGCGAGCACGACCATCTTTACCACTGCAACGATGTGCCAAATGCCCGCTTCGAGCTGCGCCTTCTTGCGGATTTCGCCCGGGAGCTGCTGCGGCACGACTTCGACGATTCACACGAAGAAGACGAAGTGTGGGAGGCGCTGGAGCAGTTCTGGGAGCGGTTTTGTGCCAGCAAGAGCGTTGGAGTGTGTCCCCGTCGTTTCGTAAATCGTTGGCCCACTGACTTTGAACCCCGTCCTCTCCCGCCCCTCCGCCCTCCACCATCCAGCTTCATCTTTGGTATACGCATCGATTTCTTGCTTTTCTGACCAAATCCTTTTGCAACAGGAGACGAGGGCAGTCTTTCTGGACAGTCCCAGCCTGTCAGCTATCGGACACCCGCATCTTTCGAGCAACCTTTTTACAGTAGTGGTATGCTTCCATTCTTCCCGAGTCTCTAACCGTGCTCTGTATATTTCAGGAAGGGAACCCGCCCTCAACATCTTTGATCTTGTCTACAAGTTGATGAAGAGCGACTACTTCTCGTGCTTGCCCGTGGACAGGCTGGGCTGGAACCTCCGGAGGGCCAGCGCGGGTGTCCCAGAGGTGCAAAAGAGGGTGGCAGAAGCGTACTCAGAGCTCAGGGGCAACAGGCACGCCGTAGGCGAAACGTGTCTCCCGCATGAAACTGATCTAGCGACGTCAGCCTACGTTGTCTTCAAGCCGTTCCGCATCAAGGAGGCGAGGCACTTGCGTCGCGGGGTGTTCTACAGCCGCCTCCTGCGCTTGCTGGTGCTGGAGAGGCCCCCAAACTCGACCCTCCCGCACTATCACTCGCTCCTCAACTGTGCTTCTCATGAGTCCAAACAATGGTATTGAGAAATTATAGCCACTAATGTTTATAAATCCAAGTGAGAAATGTGCGGTGTTTAGGGGCAAGGAAGAGTTGGAGCATCCGGTCTTGAATCTAGAAGAAAAGCCAAGAAGATGGGGACGAAGTATGAAGAGGAGGCAAAGTAGCTTGAGGTTTTTGCTTTTTCCTTCTCAAGCGAAGTTCTCGAGGCAAAGAACGGGCATTCTAAACGATGAAGACGATGAAGAGTCAGAGGAGAACGATAAAATCGAGTGGAGGAAAGGTAAAGGGACGAAGTAAACATCTTTGGTTCTCCATGTTTTAGAAAATCGCCTACTTGTAGATTCAATCTAGCATGCATAAGGTTCTGCATTGGAGGACGCGGAAGCCCGGTAAATGCAGAAGAAGCTGGCTGAAAGTCTTTGCCCGGAGGATTTTCACCAGGGAATGGAAGAAAACGTGGGGAAGCTGACACTTTAGAGGTGAAGGTACATTTCTTTTCGTTTCTCTCATGCTTATTTTCCTACAGCCTCTGACTGGAGAAGGTTAAAAAAGACCTTAATTCCTTGTCTAAGGACAAGCAGTGATGAGGTAAGTATCTATAGTTGTAATGGAAAAGTTTATTTTGGTACATGTTGCAGCAACGCTCCATTATAAAAGCAACAGTTTATTTGTTTCTAATGATTGAAATCGGGAAAGTTGAGAAGTCTTACGCGGAGGTTAAGCACATGGTTCTGTTAAGCTCCTGTCAATCAATCGTTTTCTATCTTCTTCTAAAGGCTGAAGGTCGGTCTGTATGTGACCATCCAGAAATTGCAAGGCTACGTACGCTGCTTGATAAGGACTTTTTTTCGTTCAGAGCTTTTTATATCTTGGCGACCTGCTTTAAACAAGAAACTAATTGTCCTGAATCGAGGGGAACCTCCTGAAGATTGGCAAAAAGGAAGACCATAAGCGGTTTCAAGATGAGTTCTATACTTGCCAAGAAAACTAGCCGAAGTTTCCGGGGTTAGATTTCCTGGATTCTAATCGTGCACCTCAGGAACCCGGTTGTCCGCCCTTGTGCCCTCAGATGGTGTCTTTGGCCCTTATCCTTACACAAAGCTGTTGCAAATAGGAGCTGCGAAGAGCTCGTGATTACAAGCAAGATTTCTGGACTTATTTTTTTTGCAGGTGTTCCCAAAATCCGGAAACTTGGTGTACCAGAGGATCATTGCCGATGCATGTAAATTCCAAAGAGCCGTTTTGTCAGCAAGTGGCGTGAATCACTGGAGCCCTTTCACCATCAGCAAAAACTTTTTGAACAGGAGACGAGGGCAGGACAGTCCCAGCCGAGAGTGGTCAGCTATCCCTCAGCTCCGGGTCATGGTTTGACCTTTCAACGGCCACGCTTGACAATTCAGAGCGTTAGGGCTTTGGGGAGGCAGGGTCGGGGTAAGTTCTTTCATGAGAGTATCACAGTGTATGTAGCTCACAAACTCATTGCAGTGGAGAGAGGCCTTGAACAAACTCGTGCCTTTGCTGTATCAACATGAGGTGGACTAACCTCAAGTCCTCTTCCTCTACCGCCTAGAGTAGGACAGAGGAGGTGCTCACCAGAGCAAGGGACCACCCCCTCGCACAGGCCAGAGTGTTTGTGCCCTTCATATGAAAACGGCAAGACAGGCAATATCCTTTGGACCGCATCAGCTATAACCAGCACATTGTGGAGCTTCACGGTGATCTGACGAGCAGGTGGCGGGCCATGGGAATAACCATGGTAGATTTCTTGAGCATGAATGACTGGCTGCCCAAAGAGGACAATCCTTACAGTCTTAGTCGGCATGGCTCTACTAGAGTGCACAATGACAACGGATTAACCTAAGAACCAGGCATGGAGAGCATTTGGGTTTTCTTAAATCAAACTCTTAATTTCTGGAACTATGACTTTCTCGATGTAGATTTGCAAGTCATATTGGTCAAGGGATTCTTTGAGAAAAACTGCCATACAGCAAGTATATGACCAAGAACACAAGGTGGGGTAAGCTTTGGTGTAGATTTCTGATTTATTTTCAATAGTGCCATTGTGATGAAGCACCTGCGTTGCAAAACGAGTTGGTGATTTCATAGTGTTTTTTCTTTGTGATACTTGTGCCTTCTAGTAGATTCATCACACCACCAACATGATGGCCTTCAGGTTCTATGTTAACTTCAGATGATCATTTGTGTAAGCTTCTGGAGGGTCCCTTTTTTAATGGTTTTTTTTTGCCAGACATCAAATATTCCATCTAAAAAATAGATCCCCTTACTAGAATACTCCCCTTGCTATTTTATAAAAACTTACCAATTCTAGGAAGGTTTGGGAAATGATTGTTTTGGGTTTTCACCCCTCTTGGACATATCTGACTCTAGAATTCTTTGGTTTCATTTCCTTGGGGATGAAAGCCTAGAGTGTGCTTTCATATAGATAAGGGTTCTAAATAGTAAGGATGTTTAACCTTAAATATCTCAAATATCTCAGATTAAAAAAGGGGGTGTATGTTTGTTTATGAGTTCTTTCTTTTTATATTTGAACTTTTATAGATTGTCTTTTTAGTCATTCAATCTTAATAATTATTTATGGACTAGGGTGAAAGCTAACTATGGAAAAAAGACATATTTTTATTCATAAGCCCTTTCCATTTATATTAGTTATTTATGGATTGGGGTGAAAGTTAAGTATCTAAAATATCCCACGATCATAAATTAGGAACACTCTTGTTTATAAACCCTTTCCATCTATATTTGAACCCTTATGGATCATTTTAAAAAGAAAAGGGTGCACTTGTTTTTTCCATATATATTTGAATCCGAGTGCACTCTTGTTTTAATGAGCTCTTTCTATTTATACTTGAACTCTTATGGATTATTTTTTTGAGTCATTCTTTAATGTTAATCTCAATGTTTGGTATGATTCCCCTAGTTGTAGCGCATGTGATCATGGGATGAGATTTGGATATACTATCACCATGAATCCTTGGAACCTTGGGGGATAAATGGGGATAAAATAGCCATTAAAGGCTCTCTCATTAAATAATTGCCCCTTTTCTAATTAGCTTAAGGGGAGAGAAATAAGATGCACTACACTAGCCTACCAATTGAACTTGAGACTAAATGTAAGTTCTAGAGTTGGACTTCCTAGGAGGTCACCCAACCTAGGATTATTAAAACCTAAAGATGATTAACCCCAAGTATCCTAAGACCTTTAACCGATTAGAAAAGTGAATGCACTTTTATTTATGGGCATTTTCTATTTACCCATGGATAGTTTCTTAAATTATTCTCTTTGGTTGTTTATAATCCATCACACTTCTTTGCAAGTTTATGCCCTTATAAACGAAAGTTAAAAGTTGCAGCTCTCTCGAGAGCCTCGCTCTCTTGACACCCTACCCCTCAGGTTGAGCCCAGCCAGAGCAAATTGGACTTGCTAGATATTGCAATCAACATGTGGTGTGATTCTCCTAATTAACTAGCAGAATCAAACCTAAGACCCCCTTTGATACCAAATATAAGCTATTAAATTTGAACTTCTCAGGAGGTCACTCAACTCAGTACTATTTAAACCTAAAAACACTTAACCTTAAGTATCCCAAGACCCTTAACTAATTGGAAAAGAGGGTGCACTTTTATTCATGGGCCTTTTTTCCTTTATATTTGAACTCTATGGATCATCTCTCAAGTCGTTCCCTTTAGTTGTTTACAAGGGTGCACTTTTGTTCATAGGCCCTTTCACTTTATATTTGAACCCTTTTATATTATCTCTCAAGTCATTGTTTTTCGTTGTTTACAGGATAAGTTGGATATGGCCAACCAACCTGAGACATTGTTTAACTCCCCATTAATCATGTTTGTCCTTGTTCTGTATCTGTCTTAGGTTTAAGCCTAAGCTCTATACGATGGTGGAATATCTATATCCTCACATCAGGCCATTTATATGCTAAAATAACACCAA